CACCTCCAAGGGGTAATGGGGAGGGGGTCGGGTAATTTCACCCTCTTTGAGAACCACTGGTAGATATGATATCTCACCTGGGTCGTCAGTGCATGCTCGCTAACCAATACTGTCCACCCTGTTCAATCCAAACCGCAATAAACTTAATCGCTTCATTTCTACAATAAAAAAAGCTGTAAAAGATCGTTTACTATTCTGGTCAGTCAGCAATGGCTAAGTGCTTCAGGTGGGTTTACCGGCCAAAAGTGGTGTGTCAGGCGATATGATAATCGTGGTACCGAACGTGATGGGTATCGGTATCTATTCGCCACCACTCGATCCACTCGGTAACACTGTACGAGGTGTGAAGTTCGCTGAACAACTCGTCGAGAAATTTAACTTTCATAATTACGATAGTCTTGTTAGTCATTTTACTTCATTCACTCATCTCATATGCGTTTGCACGAAACTTATGTGGTAAAACCTGTTCGCGCATTATTCCTCAAAAACCAATGAACATTCTTATTCTCAATTGATCCTGTACGAATTAGTGGAATGTTTTTGATCGTTTGAGTCAAAAAATCGGTTACGAGTATTCTGTGAACACTATTCGGTTTGTTTCAGTAATATGAATGGTAATCAAACAATCAAAATCATGACGCAAAGTGTGTTTCTGCATAGATGCATTGCTTCAACAGCAATCCATTTTTAAACAAGTGAATTCTTTTATAGGTTTATTCGGATACCAAAAAAATAGATCCACGAAAAATGGTTCGAGAACTGAGCAACGAATCCATATCGAACATGATGTACGCCGTGAGGGCTGGCGATATTTCCTCTATTCAACGGTAGGCAATGAAAATTTCAATAGAGTTCAACAATGGCAATGACAATAATCTTTCTTCAATCGTATTCCCAGTTGATCGCGTTCAAATTAGGAAAGTTTCCATCGCCGTAGCGAATATAATTGGAGAAGCGTCATCGGGGAGAACAAAAAGCAGACGCATGAGCTTGATCNATGTTGAATGAAACATATTAACGAAACATTTCAAAAAATTTATCTTCACAAAATTTTTCAAGAAGTAAATTTATATTCATTAAGCTTAAACAAGAAAACTTAAACTTAACGAGAAAGCATAAAACAAGAAATCATCTTATTCAATAATCCATATCACCCAGAATGCAATTTTTATTCAGCATTAATTCCTTTGCACTTTTCATCTGAGAATATTTCTATGCTCAAGCGGCTGGCTATCCGATTGTCATTGTAGATTTAAGTTGTATAAATCAGCAAAATCAACTGTTACATTGAATGATTCTCTCTGAACACAGTGTAATCATACGCTGTCTTGTTAGTCAGCCGTTGATAGAGGAGACACAATAGCGATCAAATCTGTGAATATTTTAATCGTACGAAATATTAATTCGTACAGAAAGTCTAATGAAACGAAAAGCATTTGCATTGTGACAATTGAACAATTCACAGATATATTCTATTGGGTGTGAGCATTCACGAGCGAGATTACGATGAACGAACCGTTCTGCATATTGCTGCCGCAGAAGGGAATGAATATATACTGAAATTTTTACTTGAACGATGGAAAGAAAGCGCTGGTTGGTTGGTTGNCTTCGAACAGCCCTCAGCAATTATTTAAAAAGAATTTTGTCAACAATTATTTAGCGATCTCTTCGAATCGCATTCCAGAAATTCCTGCAGAGAAATTCTCCCGCATGTGACAACTGAACCACAATTTTTAAGCATCTATCTTTCAACAACTAGTTATAGTTGTCTGAGAATGGCTCTCTCTCTGTTTACCTATGTATGCATATGAAAGGACTGAAGTTTTTCCTTGTTATGCCACCTCTGGAACAGTTACAGAGCCGCTGTGCGTTGTTTGAAAACAGGCATGAGCACGTTATTTGAATAAGATGATAAGAATTTGATTCAGTATGAAAGGTTGATTGCTTTACAGACCCAAAGGATCGTTACGGGCGTACACCACTGGACGATGCCAAAGAGTTCGGACAGAGCAAATGCGTTGAACTGCTCGAGAAGAAGTTGGAGCGTCAAGCGAAGATGTCGTCGTCTTTTGCACGTAAAACGTCGTTGCACAGCCCGCAGAACATCGACTCAAGCACAGAGTCGCGCGATCGAACGCAATCCGATATCGCATCCACCACTAATCAATGAATTCGATGTGCTATCAAAAAAGTCTCACTCCTGAACTCAACAACACTTCCATACAATCAATCTCCCGTCAAGTTGCGATTAGCTTAACTGTTGGCTGCGAAGCAACGCCTGATCGTGTCCATTCAGCACAT